TGAACATTTAAATTTAAAAACTAAGTACAAAAGTAACAAAATTTCACCAAATTTGAAAACTCAAAGAGCAGTGAGCAAAATGTCTAATCACTTGAGTGCCAACTCTAGAAGTGAAGATAGACTTTGTAATCCAAGTGAGAGACAGCTGCACTAAGAGAGTATGTTGTGCTCCTATTGGTAGAAGGTTGTTGTATGCTTTATGCACGATACAGGTGGGGGTAAGTGGGAGTATCAAGGCTAGTGGCAAGCCAAAAAAAAACAAAAACACTGAGCATATAGAGGGCAACATTAATCACGAAAAGCTATTATGTGAGTGTAAGTAAAGTATTGTATCAGAATTTGCAAAACTTTTCCCAACACTTATGTAAAACTAGCAAGTCTATAATTACTAGAACAATCATTATCACCTCCCTTGAAAAGAATGAACATCTGCCATCTTCCAATCTTCTGACACCTGCCCACTATTCAAGGACATAGTAAAAATAGTAGGAAGTGGCTCACACACCCAATCCCTAAGCTCCTTTAAAATCCTTAAGGAAGTATCATCTGGCCAAGGCACTTTACCATTCTTTAAAATTCTCAATTTTTTTCTTAACAAACTCAGCATTAAAGTGATCATCTTGTTTCCATCTAGCAACTGTTTAGGTTGAGGAATATTGCTAAAATCTTCATTAATAAAAACTGAAGAAAAAGTAGAACTTAATAATCTAGCCATCCAATATTCATCAGATATTAGCCTTCCTTTATCATTTCTCGAAGGCCCTACTCTTATCCTAACATTTTGCTTACCCGTAATTTAACTAAAGAAAACCTGACTATTAATTTTTTAATATCTTCAGCCAACCTTTTTTAAATAAAACTTTTTTCATATCATCTTTTTGATTTCTTAATTTCCCATTTGACCAACTCTCTTGATCTTCTATAACCCTCCAAATCTCCCATTGTTGTAGACAATTTAAACTTTTTAAATTCATAATGTTTTTCTTTGATTTTTATCTTTTATAACCTTTATGAGCCAAGCTGGTTTTTTTACTTGCAGCCACCTTTTCTTTTCTATAAGGAACATACTTATCTTGAATATTTAGGAATTTGTTTTCAAAATTTTCTACATTTGCTCAGTATCTCCAATTAATTCAGATGCCTAATTTACAACAGATAATTTATGTCTCATTTCTTCAAAATTTACATTTTTTGAAGTTTAGAACAAAAATCTCATTATTCCTTCTCTTCATATGCAGCGAAACAATAAATCTTTTTGAAGAATGACCATTTGCACCCAGATTTTCTCCAATCTCTACCCAATTTCTATATTAACAGTTAAGAATAAATCAAAATAGCATTGTTTCTAGTAGGATTCCTAAACAATTGAAAAAAAAAACCTCCTTTCACTGACATTAAATTATTCCATAATCATAATCTCATTAACAGCTGAATTCTTTATACCACTGTAGTTTCTCATTAATTTCATCAGTTTCATCTCATGGTCTATAACAAATTCCAAGTAACAGCCTTTTCCCCTTATAACCACTAACATAAATCTAAACAGAATCAACCTCAATGTTATTAGCTTTGATATCCTCAACTTGAACAGGATGCAACACATATTTTACATATAAACAACCCTTCCCCCGTTTTTAGTACTCAATCTATATCAAACAGACTATAACACCATATTTCAAAGAAATTGTGATCACCAAAATTGTCTACTTTTAACAAGGTTTCCGTTATTTCCATTACATCAAACTCTTCTGTTCCAAGCAGTGCTCTAAGGTCATTCACTTTATTTCTTATACTTCTAGCATTACAGTAACAGTTTACCTACCATTAAAACTACTTCGGTACTTTGTTCCTACACTATATTTCTCTATATCTTATTTTTTGTTCATTATTCTGACCCACATCACTGTCTAGTCCAAGTTTAAAGCTACCCTTGCAGTTAATAGATTTTACAAACCATCCATTCTAAAAAGCTCCCTTTTGCCATTAAACTGATCCCACAAATACAACTAGCCAACCTGCTCATCCTTACATACTAACCTAAGTACAGAATCCAGCCCTAATGACCTTTTTATAATTTCATCCCTACAATTAAGTCTCAGAAGTATTCCTGACAGCATTACATTATTATGGCCCTTTTATTTGAATGCCTTCTACTTAACAATTAGCTCCTCTGATCTACCTTTCCCTACATCATTAGCCCTTATATGCACTATCAAAATTGCATCATTGCTAGTATCCTTTATTATTCTACTTGCTCTGTCAGTCATATCTCCCACCTCTGTCCCTGGAGAGCATAATCTAATTCTCTTTTTTTTCCTAATTACCCCATAGACTATTCTATCCACGTGCTGTGCTAAAAAATTACCTACAGCAATAACCTTATGCTTCCAGTCCCATCCTTATCTGTCTTTTTTTTGTTATCCATCCCTCTCTTAATTCATCTGCACAACCTAAAGGTTGAAATCCATTATTATCCCCATTAGTACTCTTTTTAACTTCCTAATCTGGCCAACATGTTCTCAAGTTAGTAACTACAGCTTGCATGCAGCGGATCTATTTTTATTTGAACTTGAATTTTTATTCACAACTTAATGAAATGAACAATAACAAAGCTTTACACATTAGTCACACTTGTAGGTACAGTGAAATTAATGAACTTTTTTAGAGTGCCATTCAACTTGGTATTATGTATTTGATGTAAGAGTTATCAACTATTCATTTCACACTATATTGCTGATTTAGTGACAGTTCACGGAAGAGGAAATACCAAATACAAGATACAGTGATAATAAAAATACTGTAGATATGTATTTCAGAGGTTCTAGCTGTTATTCAAAGGCAATATGCAAATTGTACAATGGACAAAAGTATCTTCATTCTTTACATGAACATCACCTTGTAGTTGACTTGTCAAGAGTCTGAATACAAGTCTTGAATATTAATATTTTAACATCTGATATTTTGTGTACAACAGACTTGTACATTTTACAAAAGCTTCCCTTATTTTGTGGAGATACACATAGAAAATCCAAAATTACAGTCAATATTCCTTCTCCAATACGGGGCCAATCCATTGGACCAATTCTATGTACATTAAGTATTGTCATCAAAGTTCAATTACAAGATTTGTAATAAGACACATTTAACTTGAAAGACACTAATTTTCCATTTCCTAACACTAATATTTCTACAATTTACTATTCATGGCTTATCAGACACAATACAATTTGTTCAATATTACAAAATTCTGTAGATAGAACTCATAATCTTACTCTTATTTTTTACAAGGGTTTTTTTCTCCTAACATATTTTTAACATCACATTTATTCAATTCTGTGGTAAGTTTAACAACTCTACTTGCAATTGTTCATGGGATTAATTTTACAAAATAGAATGGACTTTCACATAAATGCAACTAAAATCTTTTTATTTTTCTTGTATATTTCCACCCACAACATAATTATATAAAAGACATTAGAAATTATTTGTAGTTTAAGCACATATCCAACGTACACAATAAGAGAGCATGTTATTCCACCAGTATGATGCATTATAACAAGAAACCAAATACTGAATGTACACAGTTGATCATGACCCAAATATTAATAAATGTCTAATTTAAGAGCAATAACTAGATGAAAAAAAAAAAATCCAGTATTTAATCAAGACAAAAAGTACTTATGTAGTATTTGTGAGAATGTCAGAAAAGATTAACAATTATGAAATTATCATTGCACACTCAGTTGTACAATTAAGTTGTTGCAATAAACCAGTGGGTCCTAAATTTTTTATTTGCAAAGTATACAATGACATTTGGCATGCTGTAGGCCCCTGCATAAGTAACTAACTTTTATCACTATAATTTGTTTACACAATGAATGAAATATTTGAAGTTTCTGAGTCATTTGGAAATGAAAATTTATGTATATGCTATGATCCTCTGAAATCATATCTTAACCCCTCAGATGTTCCATGACCTCAGTTTAGGACCCTCTGTAATAGAAAAATGTAATCAAATACCAACTAGCTATTTGAAGTAAATATACATTTTCTGTGTTCAATTGCCACAGTACTGGTATCATGTCGTGTTTTTATTAAGTGAGTTGGAACAGGTATGGAACAGCAAATGTACATAATTTATCAGTAGATTATATTATTATAGTTACTGTTTAGACTATGCCAAACTGAGCTTTAATTACTATAGTAACATAAATCAAACCATGCAAATTTCAGGTTATTTAGTTAGCCTTTATGAGTTTATCCCTTTACATTATATCACCTCCTAATACTGAGTAATGGTTAGATTAACAATAATAGTACTACTACGTTTTTAGTTCACATAATTATCCCTTTTAAACTGCTTAATTCATCATAATATTAAAATCTTCTGCCCAAACTAATGCCTGTCATGATTTCTTCAGTTAAGGAGAAATTGATGAAAACAAGCAAATTTACAATCATTACTCACTCAGTCACTGGTACTACAAATTACAACTTATAATCTCCTCAGATTATAAACTTATCATAATGAATTAGGATATCAGTCATAAGACTGAAAATGAGATAATTAACGCCTTGTCAAAGACCAGCACTGTAGTGGTGAATCCCATCTATTACAAGTATACCCCAAATCATATTTGTGCGATCTGTACAAGGAAAACAATGCAAAGTCACATAAAACTGAAATAACTAGTCTCAATCAAAACAATGACCTAGCGTATCCCTTTGCTATAAAGGAGACGTGGAGTGGATATAGTTTATTTAAAACTTTAAAATGCTGATTTTTCTGAACTAATTTCGCGCCGACATAAGCGCATACTAGTAATGGTATTGCTAGTACTGCATAATGGCAGTAGGGAGTGACTAGTACTATTACTAACGGTATTGATCAGTTAACTACAGTAAAGTCTAAAGACCACATTTATGCTTATTTTCAGTTATATCTTCCAATGAAAAATTCCTTAAGACGAGAAAACACAAGTGAACTTATAGAAACTTACCTTGTTTTCTGGCGAGTACTTGTATTAATTAGAATTATCAATAATATAATTGCGCGAAATAATAAAACTAGCACTATAAAAAAACGTTTATTGGCTAACGCAGCCTTTGTTAGACATAAAGCCCTCTGCAATTTAATAAGCTCATTAGGAAAAAAATTAATATATATTTCTAATATTAATAAAAAAAGTGTAATATACTGTTTCTCCTGGTATTATCAGATATTTTATTATTACTTTTTGTGGTTACAAAGAATGTAAATATTGCCAGTTTTTATAGTGTGATATCTGAAATACTGATCTCCCACATAATAAACGGTAATGACTAAATGGGTGTAAATATGTGGATTCGTGACATTTTGAAAAGTAGACATTAAAAAACAACGAACTTCGTATCTTTATTTATGCATTTTTAAAATTTTTAGTTCAGGCTTTAATACTTATTTATAAGCTTTAGACGAAAAGAATGTGTCAGGCTTTAAGCTTTTTGTTAACCTTACTATTGTAATGTATTCTATCGTTAAGCGGAATATGGAGCGGATGATGTCACTCTTCGCTGCATTATAGATGTCTAAAACTACGTATGAGCCATCCAAAATGGACGTTGTTGTAATATGATCATAAAATTATCAGACTGGAATATTCACTTCTCTCAGTTGATTTTCAATCTCTCACAGCTGCTCATTTATGTAAAACATATCTATTAGGTAAATGCATGATTTTGCATAATTTTTCTAAAGTGAGCTTTTTCTCGTTCCTTAATACTTCTGTTTCACCTGCCTTTCCTTTTTGATACTATGTTTTACTTTTTAGGTTATTTAGTTCAACTGTAATTGCAACACTACAATCTAATGTGGCAAAGCGGTATGTATGCTGACTTACAACACTAGAAACCGGGTTTCAATAGCCGTGATGGGCAGAACACAGATAGCCCTTTGTGAAACTTTGTGCTTAACTACAAACAAACAATAATATTAACATCATATAGTTATTCATTGGTTTTGGTAAAACGATTTTCGATATACCTATATTGACAAATACAGTTAATGGCATTGTGGTATTGGCTCATCACGTAATATCCTATTTCGTTTAAAGTCTATATGTCACTTCTTCTGTAACAAACTCAATATCATTTTATGGGAAATAACTAACGCTATACATGGCTTATGTATACAGTGCACAGTAATTTTATTACGATCTGTGACTTTTACAAAAATAAATATTCAGCAAGTGTCTACATGTTTATGAATATTTCATTTATAAAAACTGATCATTTTCTCATCGAAAAAATCATGTCTTCTTTCAATGGTATAAGCCAAACCTATATAAATTTACAATCTTATGAATATTTCAATACATTCAATTCTTCATAAACAGCAATGAAATAATTTGGTACACTGTGCCTTCTGTTTAATATGACTCAGGGTACAACTTAGACTTTTTTTCTTACTAGCTAAAAACTAGCGAGTTTATGAACAATTTCAGTCCCAAACTTAACCTACTATCCATTCACCAGCATGGAAGTTTGGAATATATTGAATTGCCTTTTGAGGCAGTGTAAGATTATAACATAAATGACACTTTAAGAAATATTTACATCTTAACATTCTGACCAAGTTTCTTTATTATCTGATGTTGTGCTCTCCATATATATATGTATATTAGTGTTGCTGAACTGGTTCACAATTTTTAAAGAGACATTTTGATTCAAAACTAACAATTGTCGTTTATGTTACAAATGAAAACAAGTTTTTCAGTTTCTGACATTACCAGAGTTTCTATAGCTTATAGCAGGGTGGTCCAACTACAGGCTCACGAGATGATTTTTGTGGTCCGCATGCCCCTTGGTTTTTTTTTTCTGTTGGGGAAGAAATCTTAAGAAATATGAGAAATGTTTTTACTTTAACGACAATTACAGAAATAACAGCATGCCAGTATAGTTGTAATAAGCCTTGTATACTATTTTTAAATTCTTGGAATCATTTACTGCTTGACTGTACAAATCGTATTCTCTCTATCGGTTGCAAGGTTAGCCTAGCGCCCTAGTCTTTGCACTTCACAAGAAGTAATATTGTATATTTTATACATTGCTCATAGCACATAAAAAGCAAGCTGTGAGTGGTTGCTTTTGATTTTAGAACTGGAGCTGTGATTATCTGGCGACACTAGGTGACACTGCAAAAAAGTGTTTCCACTTTTACGTTAGATTTGATTAGTCGATCTGTATCACACAAGGAGGGCGTATCGTGTAAATGTGGTTTCAGAGTATTCACGTTTATAGCCAAAACTATATTCAGTGACTTGTAAATTGGACCCCATAATGAATGTCCACAAAAAAGGAAGGTTTTCAAAGAAAATATGCCATTTAACTTGAATTGGGAGGGAAATTTTTATTTATTGAAAACAATGTAAAACTGTAGTGTCTTTTTTGTTTACAAACCATTGCTATACCAAAATAATACAACATAAAGTGCCATTAAGACACACAACAAAAGGGTTTAGGAGCAATGAAGACAACACCCTCGAGGACATGGAATGATGGCAAATATTGAGACTCTGGAAAATAAAAGAAATCTGAAGATCTTGATTGAGAGTAAAGAAATAAGATGCCACACAAATCATTCACTTCATTTCAAGTTACAACAAAGAACAAAAAATTGACCAAAGCATCAAAGTCTCAAACATTTAGCTAAGAACCTATGTACACCTGTTTAAGATGTCCTACACTGCATGATGGTACATGTGAGATTCTGACACCAGAAATAGATAAAGAAAGAGTACATCTTTGAAATCTGTTTAACAGTACTAGGCATTGTAGGTAAAGGGAATCAAATCCCTGTAGTACAACAAACTATCGGATTGGAACTTATCAACCTTGAGTATCTCAATGGCAATTTGATTCGTGTATACGGATGGGTCTGTCACTGAGAAACGGAGGAAATAGGACCTACATTAGGTATCTAGATTGCCATAACACTTCTCTGTCCATTCCTGGAGGACAGCTCTGCAACAACTTCAAAGCTGAAGTGTCAGCTATTGCTGCTGCAGCTGACCACCTCAGAAAATCTGAGAAGGATTTAAAAATATTATTCTGGCAGACTCAATGTCCATTCTGCAAGCCTTGATATCCAAAACCACCGATGCAGCCATCAGAGATTTGCAAGACAGCATCCAGAAGGTCTCACAGAACTGTCTTGCACTGGATTCTGGCGCATTACAGAATCTAAGTAATGAGACAGCAGACAGACTGGCCAAAGATAGGAACCGAAATGCTGGCTTCAAATCACCATCTCCCTCAGAGAAGCCAAAAACCTTACTGAAGCAGGAATTCAAGAATGACTGACACTGTAATTATTGAAGTTACAACCCACAGCAAGACTCATTCATATTTTTGGGCAAAAGGTAGGCTTCAACTATTTACCACCGATGAACTGGCCATTGTGGTCTCCATGCTCATTTGAAGAAAACCAATCTTGCACACAGACAGTTCATATCCCAGCAAAATGTTTCAGGACTGTCCCTTTTACACAGCCCAGAGACTTTGAACCTTGCCAGTGGGAGTAGACCAACATATTAAGTTGTGGAAATTGATGGCAGACCTTAACCCGACCACCCGGTTCATGACCTCTATTGGACGGAAGATCTGACGACCAGTCAAATACGGAAGAAGAATCTAGTGGAACTAATAAGATCTTCTCAAGCTAGTTACACACGGTTAATTAGGGCATCATGCATACTCTCTCAAAGAAAGTGTTGACATAAAAATGTACATTCTGTATAAAGAACAACAGCTAGCAAGTCGGACTGGTGTCCCTTGGATATAATATCCTTTACCTTGAAGTGAGAGTGATTGTCAGTCACGTGGGTTGTGTGTAAATCCAGATTTAAACCGCCATGATTATTTTCGCTGTATAATGCAATGTTTTCCTAGTCTGGGAACAATAGCTTTGACAACTTTTTAACTGCTTAAAACAGGACCTTTTCAATAACTTTGAGCTTTGAAGCTTGTCAGAACCATTGAAAATTAGGGAAAGTCAAAGCCCTGCTTCACCCTACAGTTCCTGGTAAACCTCTTATTATCCTGCAGTTTCTACTTATTGACTCTGAAGGAAATCAGTGAATCTAAGAATACCAAATTAAAAACAAATTGTATCTTTCATATGTATATCTATAAAAAGTAGTGTGCAGTTAGTTTGTATTATTTTAATACTTTATTGAATAAATATATAGAACTATATTTCAGATTGATATTTTTTTTAACAAGGGTGTTTTTCGTGGCTTTTTATTAGGGATGCACGGTACCCGGCCAGATATTCGGCCCCGACTGGGTACTGGGCTACCTGGTAATACTCGAGATTAGGCATCTTAGCCCTAATCTTTATGGCAACTAATGCGGTACTGAAAGTTACGGTCAATAATTGATTAAGTTATAAAAAAAAACGTGTTCCAAGCAACAAAAAACTGACCGCATGGCTTGAGAAGTGGATTTCTGGGGAAGGTGGGAGTTTTGAGAACAATAGGGATTAGGGTTTGAGAAGTTGGGGCTAGGCATTGAAAGTTGAAAGTAAAACTTGAATGTTCTGTTGGTGATTATTTGGTTAAATGTAATAAACGTCAATTTCGTCTTTATTTCTAATTTTTGTGTATGTTGTTTTGTTGTATTCAGCCAAATTTTACTACCTGTGCAACTTTACTTTTTATCAAGTTTTAAACTATAGATTTGAAAGAAAGCAAATATTTTTTTTTTTTTGCAATGGCTATAATTTTGCTACAAAACGGACATAATATATTCACTTGAAAAACTTACATCTTAAATTAAAAGTTCTCACAAACTGATTTTAAAATCTAACACTCATTTAGGCCTGGCATGGCCTGATGGTTATGGCTCTTGACTCACAATGTGTGGGTCGCGGGTTCGACTGAACATGCTAGCCCTTTCAGCCGTGGGGACGCTATAATGTGACATTCGGTCCCACTATTCGTTAATAAAAGAGTAACCCAAGAGTTGGTGGTGTTGACTTAAGGATGGCTAGCATAGATAGCCACTGAGTAGGTTTGCGGGAAAGTAAATAAAAACAAAAACCAAAGCAAACTAACTATCTATTTTCACTCCATGTCTACAGTACTTATCAATTTTAGTGGAATCATAATAGGGACTTGTAGCTTGAGAAAATAATGTGTACAGTATTTTCAGTCTATATTTTTTATATTTAGAGTCCCTAGTTATAGGCTTGAAAAATATAATCTTTTATTTTGATTCAACTTGTTTCTGTATTTTTTGATGATTCCTATTTACCTTTTCAATTAACAATTTTTATTCATCTTGTATCTTTAGATATTTATGCCCATTTATGGAGAATATTTGTTTGTTGTTATGCACAAAGCTCCACAATGGGCTATCTGTGCTTTGCCCACCACGAGTATCGAAACCCGGTTTCTAGCGTTGTAAGTCCGCAGACATACCGCTGTGCCACTGGGAGCTATGGAGAATGTATTTTAAGCATATACATTCATTTGAATGTTATATGTTTTTCAACATTTTACTGCTGCATTGGCTTTTTTCCCACTCAACCATTATTTACTGAGCCAGGTGGTTTTGTGCCTGAGGTTTCATGTAAACGCGCATTTAACAAGCATCAGTACAAATGAAGACATTCACAACAATATCACATATGTTATTGTTACGACAGCGGAAGTCACGCGACACTGGGGGCATGCGCGCTGGAGTTTCTAGAAGGATCATGAAGGCCCCAGTGCATTCCAGACGCTCTCTTTTTAATATATAAGACTGGCGAGAAAAACCAGCGCGATAGACAGATAGATTGCAGAGATATGCAGATAGATCGAAGAGATAGATAAATGAGTCAAGCTAACAGTAGGCACCATAAGTTTATAGCGTGTGTTATAAAAGTTGTTAAGTATATTACTAAAATTTGTATCGAGAAAGA